TGTGTGTGTGTGTGTGTGTGTGTGTGTGTGTGTGTGCGGTCTTAGAGGTGGAGTTGGTGTATTTTGGGGTCAAGAGGTAAAAAATACACAAAATAACCACACGGCATGCATTCTGTGTGGGAAGAAGTCAGAGCCGTACATTGGATCAGTTTGGCAACGACCCCAAAAAAAAATGTCGTTAACTAGCTGAAGCCATTTTGTGTCCCAGCTGTAGTGAATCTTTTTCAAATTTCGTGTTTGGGCTCAAATTGCAATTCAAGTGAGACCAGTAGAGATGTTGTCTTCACTGATGTATATCTACTGCTCTGGGTACATCGTGATCCTGCATGCGCTCATGTTCGAAATATGAACTCCTCTGCGGTTGCTTTTCCCTCTGGTTGTTTGGATCGCACAGGGAGTTAAAACGTGAAGTTAATACCTTGAGATTTTAAGCTGTTATTTTTCCTCAACAGGACTCACGTTAGAGAAAAGTTTCAGAAGCTTCAAAACATCTTTAACATCCCTAAAATGCGTATTTCATTAAAAACCAGTGTCCTTCATCTTTTATGATGCTACAGCTCATATGATGCTAACTGTGGTGCTTTGGTTGGTAAATGGTTTTACCTTTGCTATAATAGAGCATAAGTGCCCCCCCCCCCCCCGCTGTTGTTTTAATGGGATTTTTCTATCATCGCTGTCAGATGAAAACCAAATATTTTCTTTTGCCATTTTTGTGTCTTATTTATATTTTCATTTGCTTTGTCATGTAGTTTGGATTCAGACAACACAGAGACCTCATGACATTTTTAAAAACTAAGAGTTTCTGGACAACTAGACATTGATTTCAAAATAAAATTTGTGTTATGGTGGAATTCCTCTGACAGCTCCTCTGTAGCACTAAGGTTGATAACAGGTTTTTTCCTCTGCTTCTTGACCGTAGGTTATAAGTCATTTCCCTAGATGCTGTTTTCCCTTTGTTCCTATAGCCTGTTTAATGCTGCCATTTATAAACAAGCCTCTCCTCTACTTTCCTTGCTTGATCTCTTCCTCTCTTCTTCTCTTCTCCCGTCCCTTCTTGTTCTCTAAACTCTGCATCTTGAATCAGAAGCCTGCAGCCCCCAGCTAAGCTACTGATGCCAAAAAAACAAGAGACACTCAGATTTCAATATCGAACTAAACATGAAGATCTGAACATTTAACCCTAGTAAGGCTGTGTCCTGCAGGCTCGCTGATGTTTGTGTTTCTGTGTGCAAGATGCCTGATCGTGTCCGTCTCTGCCCCCCCCCGACAGGAAACTGGCTAAAAAACGTAAGGACGCTATCGGAACAACTCGGCAGGAAATGACGCACATGGTGAACGCCATGGACCGCAGCTATGCCGACCAGAGCACTCTGCACGGAGAAGACCCGATGGCCGTCACGTTCATGGACTCACACAACTACAACAACAGATGTAGGTTCATAAGCAATGATATCATTCATGTTTAACCTTAGAACGTGCACCAGCCCACATGTGCAAGATATTTTAGGATCACTGCAAGTTCTAAAACAAAAAACACTGGCATCTGAATTGTAGAAAGGAAAAATATTCTGGTCTGATATGGGAACAAGAGAAGAGAACATCATCTGCGGAGAAATTAAATGATTCCATAAATATTCACTGCTTTACCAGACCACACGGAGCAAAGATTGTGGAATGGTTTTGCCGATAAAGGTATAAGATGTTGTATTGGAGAATAAATAGTGCATCGGGGGCCGTACATTACTCCCTTGGTTCTTTGGGAAGCATCTAAACCCCCCATGCTTTCTGGTCCTCCTCTGTGTTTGAGTACTGTTGACATTAAAAGAGTCTCCTGACCATGTTTCCTTCTACAGTGCCCAACGACCCTCTGGTTCCTACTGCTGTGTTAGGTGAGACCTCTAGCATGGATGGACAAATCCCATTTATCACCAGAAACGCCCTGTAGTGATCACCCATCAGTGTCTTGAAGCCCCTGCGCTTGTAGCCCCTGTCCTGTGTGTCCCTGTGCGTCATCACATAAGTCCCACTGTGGCTGTCGGACATGGTCAAAGCCTCCATTACATCCTGTCGTGACCCGTGCTTTGACATTTGTGCTTGTGCAGGTGGATAGTCTGGCTCGTTGGAAGTATCTCTATTTTATCTACGATTGACTAAATGTTTCTAAACTAAACGTTCACTGCACTCACTCAGTGAAGTAAACAAAATAAAAAAGAGATACAGCAACTTTCTAAGATTTCTCTCAAAGGAAATAGGTGCAATGGATTCTAATATGTAAGGGAAGCTAAACTGTGTGTTCATCTTTTATCTTTTTTTTTTTTTGCCTTCCACTGCCAACTTGTCTGTGTAAAACATGGCCAGTACAAAACCTCCAGCAGCCAAGCACTTCATCTGTCGTCCTGTGGTTTGCCTGGGTTCAATCACTCCCATTCCCACCGAGCGTTATTGATATTCGCATTAATTCACCACCATTCTCCCTTAGAGACCTCATTATTTCCACAGCGTTGCGTTGTTTAAAGCCACGCCATCATCTCCCGTCCCAAATAACGACAGAAACTGACGCTTGAAAGGAGGAGGACAAATTTTCCGATAAAATCTGTGACATCAAGTGACAGCGAACAACTTCGTGCCTACAGCTCAGACGTCTTCTTGAGTATCAGCCATCTGTGTCAGTCCCCAGGCTTGTTTTGTTGCCTCAGTCTGAATGTTTGAACCATGAAACCTGAAGTTTTTGCCAATTTGGGATATTTCTCCGGCTCAATGTGTTTATCTGTAGTTTACTCGGGTGTGGAAGCTGCAGCGCCATGTAGAGTTCCAACGTGTCTTCGAGGCATCTACAATCCTCGACGCCACCAAACTGTGTTAATTAACTGTTTCATAGCTCCTAATATGAAATGAAGGCTGCAGTTACAATCTGTCCCGGCCAATCACATCACATGGGAGGGGGGGACTAGCAGGAAGTAGCGAATTAAGAGTCGGTGTCGGGTCAAGTTTGCCGTTAATTGGCCTGATGAGGGCTTAACAAACCTTTAACAATCCGTAATGAGCTAGCGTGTCCTTGGAGCGGAGGAAAGCCTCAGCTGGATTAAATAAACAGCGTCAGTTAATGAACTGTGGTGTTGATGAAATCAGTCGGTTGTGCTGCAACCCCGAGCTACTCCATTATACAACCTGTCAGTCTTTACATTTCCACCGTCACCTCACATCACCTCCCACCGCACAGAGATGGGAGAAGTCCTGCAACAAATTCGACCCTTAAATTACCTTTAACTGTTTCTATTATTAACTGTTTCTATTATCTTTGGTTAGAATTATGAAGTTTTTGGAAGAAAGTTAGTAAATTGTCGTTGCTATGGAATAACACAATCAGCTGTTCTTGGGGGGGCCCATTTCAGTTTGGGGCCCCCTTGCTTTGCCTACCCTGTAGTTAAGCCCCTGGGTGTGTCCTGCTGTTTATCGTCTCTTATGTTATAGATTTAATTTTAGTAAAGTGGCAAAAATAACAACAGGTCCAGCTATTGTTTGTTATTACATTTGTTTGCACATTTTCCATTGTTTTGTGACATTATCCCCTGTTTTGTCATCATAAATGTACCTTTGCGCTCTTTGTAGATGGATTAAAGTGGTCAAACTCAACCTGGAGCTAACTTAATCCTCTCACTCTGCATTCTTGACCGAACTCCTTTTCCCTCTTTTCTTTTTCTGCTGCTTTGACATGTAGTTCCGATCACAGGTGAGTACAAAGGGAGAGAAACAAACTGACAAAGCTTGTGTTTGTTGGGAATTGCAGAATATTCTGATGCTTTTAGGTCAGAGACGTAACTTTTTCCTGATGTGGGGAAGAGAAAAAGCAGCTTTTGTTAAATGATCATTCAACCTGAACTCATCCCCTCTTGTAGATGAGAACCACAGCGGCTCTGCAGCGGAGAACAGTCGGCTCCTGGATGTTCCTCGGTATCACTGTGAGGGAACCGAGTCTCCTTATCAGACGGGACAGCTCCACCCGGCCATCAGGGTGGCCGACCTCCTGCAGCACATCAACCTGATGAAAACGTCTGACAGCTACGGCTTTAAGGAGGAGTATGAAGTAAGAATATTATGATCAAGACTTCTTTTCACCCGAGCCCGGAGCAGTAACAGAAGTGTTATTGACTGGTTGGTCATTATCTCAAGTATTAACCCTGACATGGAGGTTTGTGTCGGAGCAGCTGATGTACGACACATTAGGCTTTTATTGTTTTGTATTTTAACTTTGATGCTTTGCGTTAAAATGATAAAATGAAGATTACGATTAAATTGCCTTTAATTTAGGTCGTTTTCTGTCTTACTGACTAAACAGTCAAGCGCCACCAGATCAAAACCATCATTCAAGCCCCTCTCTCCCACTCGGCAGGGGTGGTATGTTTAAGGATCCATGACGTGTAATTTTCCTTCCCATGTTCTTGTGTGTTGTTGGTGATACAGAGCTTCTTCGAGGGCCAGTCGGCCTCCTGGGACGTCGCCAAGAAGGAGCAGAACCGCACCAAGAACCGTTATGGGAACATAATAGCATGTAAGCGAGAAAACCAAAACAGGAGTGCATTATGGGAAAAGAAAAAAAGGGAAAAACTAATTCACTGCTCTATCACCTCTCTCACTGTGTTTCTGTCTCTCTCTTCCATCCCCTCTCACTCTCTCCCCCCTGTGTGTTTCTTTAGATGACCACTCGAGGGTTATTCTTCAGCCCATCGAAGACGACCCCTCCTCCGACTACATCAACGCCAACTACATCGATGTAAGTGGAAACGCATCGAATGCTACTATTGGCTCCCAACGAAACCAACGAAACCACACTCCCTCGCTCGTATGTCAGGCCTCTATACCTTTATTGCGTCTTCTAGTCATCCCATCGTCACCATTTACGCATCAAGCCAACGCATCATCCATGCAGCACGTGTCTTTTTTGTCCTCTCCCAAGTCCCTTTCATCCTGAAGTTCCATCCTGTTAAATGAACAGTAGGTTTGTAGATAATCAGGATTTTGGATTAAGCACAGCTTTTGAAGAAATTGAAAGGGTTTTGATTGTTTGCATCATTGAATTTCCGTTGATCAGTTAATTGTCAACTACAGCCAACAGCTAGAACCATTCAATCCAGCCACAACACATCACCCAAACATTTAGATACCAGTCCTCTAAATATCCCAGATTCTTCATAAAGGTGATCCGTTGTAAAAGAAAAGAAAATCCTGGATCATCCCTCCAAGTCTGGTGGTAATCCGTCCAGTAGTTTTCCCATAATCCTCCTAACAAGATACTAAATGTTAAATACGAATCTACAACTACGATAAATGACTAATAGTTGAATCTTCAGCATTAAGTTACATTAAAGTGCATCTCCGGTTTAAGCGTTTAGTCTTCAGTGCATCCATCTTTTAACCGGACTGTCCATCTATTCACTTTGCCTAAATACCAGTAATTATCCTTTTCTAAATCATCATGTGTTCATTTATCTTCCGAACCTGTCTCTCCATCTCAACATCCATCTTTTGTCACCTCCACTCGACTGTCACCTTCACAACAATCATCTGCATGTTAGTCTTTCACGTTGTGCTTTATTTTTAATGTTGTGCTTATCGCATGCTCTTCTATGTTATCATGAACTACCATTGTAGCTAGTGCAGGCATGCTCCTGCTCACATTGAGCTAGAAATAGACTGAATAGACAGGGCACCACGGTGTCTCCAGTAAATATCTCCTGGGACTAAACAACTAAGTCTAATCATTCGAAATGTACTGAAAATACATTGAATCCACATCAGGAGTGAGGTGGTGACATCTGGATGTGCCCTTTGTATTCATTCTAATTCTAGAGATCAGGTTTTATTTTCTGCATGGCCTGTTCAAACTCCCATTACATCAATGCAACTTTTCTTTTTTCTGATTGACACTCACTGACATTGTTGTGCTTTCTTTCTTTCTTCCTTCCTTCCTTCCCTCCTTTCTTTCTTTCCTCCACTCGTTCTTTCTGCCTGTGGCTTGGGCTGTAGATTTGGCTGTACAGGGATGTAAGTATCACTGAGGAATCTTTGCATTCATGCCCCTCCTCTTTTTTACACATCCCTCCATGCACTCTCACCCTCACGTGCATCGAGTCACGGTGTGTGTGTACGTTTTAAGTTGCTGGGGCCTCGGCTGCATGAAATGTTGCTCAACATCTCGACCTCTCACCGGCGTTTCTTACTTCTCACTGTAAACTGTAAAGATGCTTTTGCTTAGTCGCCATTTTTGCCTTATTACCTTCAGGAAAACCCGCTCAGTGGTTGTCATTGCTCTCTGCACAACTGACAGTCATCGGTAGATTTTGGCTCATAATTATTTTGCAGCCTGGTTTTGAAAGTTTAGAAATGTCAAGTAAAAGTCAAATCGGCCCGACCACAAAACGACCAACTCTCCTACTGCAGCCTAGGTATCTTAATATCAGAAGTGTAAACATTTCTCTTCACCTTGTGTCTAAATATCTCAGAGATGCTTCGTAATGTCTGTTTCGTCTGAGGTGAAATGTTAGTTTTGACAGTGAAACTCTTGCACTGCAGATGTTGTTTTGATGCATACTGAGCTGTCTTTGGTTGTGCTGTTGTGTTTTCAGGGTTACCAGAGGCCAAGTCACTACATCGCCACTCAAGGTGAAAAACCCGCTCAAACACATGCAGTCACACGCAGAGTGTAAGTCATAGAAGTGCTGAACATATATGTGTGTATCTGTGAGCAGGTCCTGTTCATGAGACCGTGTACGACTTCTGGAGAATGGTGTGGCAGGAACAGTCCGCCTGCATCGTCATGGTGACCAATCTAGTGGAGGTTGGAAGGGTGAGTTGGTGTTTTGTGTGTTTGTGCACACTCCCATCATGCACTGTTTTATTTTCCTTTTAACATTCAGATATTTAAGATGCCTATAAATAGATAAACCATATACAATACAGAAATATCAGTCAGATAAAAACATTATATTATGGTAATGAATTTTGATTAGATACTAAATCTTTCATTCCCTCTTTTTATCAGGTCAAGTGCTATAAGTATTGGCCAGATGATGCCGAGGTGTACGGAGACTTCAAGGTGACGTTTGTGGAGGTCGAGCCTCTTGCTGAATATGTTGTTCGCACGTTTACGCTGGAGAGGGTGAGTTTTTCTGCCAATTTACATTTTGCAAGATATTCTGTAGTTTAGAGTTCTGCAAAATCCTGAGCTGTGTTGTGATGGATCATCTGATCATTTGGAACGTAACCTTAAAATGTCTTTTGTCTTTATTCAGCGTGGGTTCAATGAGGTTCGTGAGGTCAAGCAGTTCCACTTCACAGGCTGGCCTGATCACGGAGTTCCATATCACGCCACTGGACTACTTTCCTTCATCCGCAGGGTTAAAATCTCCAACCCGCCATCTGCTGGGCCGATTGTGGTCCACTGCAGGTATGGACATAATTTGACTGTATGATAACACATTCTGTTTGATTAATATTACCATTGAATTTATAAATATATGTACACATAGTTTATATAGTTATACACAGATCAATGGAAAACTTCCCCTTTCCTCTTTCTGCAGTGCTGGAGCAGGGCGGACCGGCTGTTTCATAGTCATTGACATCATGTTGGACATGGCGGAGAGAGAGGGAGTGGTCGACATCTACAACTGTGTGAAGGCTCTTCGCTCCAGGAGGATCAACATGGTACAGACTGAGGTGACTGCATTACCCATCCTCCATCCACATCCTCATCTTAGAGTATTCTCACTGTGAGACACGGCCGTCTGCATGGTTCAGGCTGAGGTGACACTCATTTCATAAACACACCATCCCACCATAGAACCCACACAATGTTGTTCTGACCTGGACAAAGGTGAAAAAATGATCATCACTCACTTAGTCGCTTTTTGCAGGGATTTGAAAATGTGTTACTCTGGTACCATCCAGTGGTTGGATCAAATATTACACCGTGACGGCTCCACGTTCCATAGTTTCAGCAAATATGACGTGAGGGCTGTGACATGTTAGATAAAGATAAAGATTTTTAAATTAGGCCATTTCAATGATTATTAACATCATTATTTCTTTAGTTAATTATTTTCTATTTGATTTATTAATTTAATTCATCTCACCTCATTCATAACTCCATCTCCCATCAGCCACCTCTCACTCACAGCGTCTGCCTGCTCACTTCCATGTGGTATCACAGCTGTTTGTGTTTTCCACCTTGTCACAGGATGTGTGTGTGTTTTATTGTTTGCCGATATCTTTATGTACCAGTGAAATGTTTGTGTGAATTATTTGACACTATGTCTTGAATTTCCTGTCTCCAGGAGCAGTACATATTCATCCATGACGCCATACTAGAGGCTTGTCTATGTGGAGAAACAGCCATCCCAGTGTGCGAGTTCAAAGCTGCTTTCTATGAGCTGATCCGCATCGACTCCCAGACCAACTCGTCACATATAAAGGACGAGTTCCAGGTAAGATCGGATCATGGTCTCTGTTCTCAGCTTTTTAAGAGACTCCAATGTGCTGTGTGTTTGAAGCAAGTGTTAAGACAAAGGCGAGTGTATCAGTAAGAGCTGAGTCTCGTAGCACAAAACAAATATCAAAATGTCAATAGAAAGTTCTCCAGCTGCTCCTGCAGCATAATCCACTTCTCTGCTGCTCATCTCTACGCTAAGTGTGTTCTGCAAACAATGATATCTCCAGTAAAACAGCTTAATCCAGTGTACAGTGTCTTTAGATTGTTTTTGATGAAAGACTCAGCTTTGGAATCAAATCCTGACCTTTCTCAGATTCTAGAAACTGTGGCTTTATCCTCCAGCTTCATCCCACGAGCATCAGTCAAAACAACTCAAACTCTTCATGAAGAGAATTTAATGAACAGTAATACTCTTAATATAAGAGTAATAGTATATCTTATATATACTTAATATAAACTAAGAACATGTGCTCGTCTTCTCAGGACCCAACACACACACGTGGATATATTTGACATATTTTTAACTCAGTAGTGGTGGACGAAGCACTCAAACATTTTACTCTGGTAAAAATACAACTAAATTAACAAATATGTACTCAAGTAAAAGTAGTAAGCAGTAACTTGCTGAGTGTACTTTTGAATATATCAAAAAAACTATGTGCACCTGTAACACAATGCATTGTAAAAATGTCGAACTAGATATCTGCTGATATACAAAGTGGAGTAAAAGTGAAAAATACTTGAAAATGAATCTACTTAAGTACAGATATATGAATAATGCACAGTAACTATGTAAATGTACTTTCTTGCATCAAACCACTGATGTGTGATTATATGTTCATCTCTTTGTCCGTCCATCTCTTTTTGTCCAGACTTTGAACTCGGTGACTCCACAGCCGCAGCCTGAAGACTGCAGCATTGCGTTGTTGCCTAGAAACCAAGACAAGAACCGCTTCATGGACGGCCTTCCTCCCGACAGATGCCTCCCCTTCCTCATCACGATAGATGGAGAAAGCAGCAACTACATCAACGCCGCTCTCATGGATGTAAGTCTCCGACACGTGCACACGAGGCGAGGTTGTGTTATTTTCAACACGTAGAGGAAGAGTGGTTTGGGACCTTTCACTCAGAGTTCTTCAGAAAATAAATCTCGTGGGTCAGTGGATGACGTTCGAGCAATGAACTGTGAAAAAAAAAGGAATAAATCAATGAGCAAATAACGTCTGTGGTCCCAAACTACAGTCACACATTTGTTGAAAATGTTTCAGTCTTTAAAGAGCTTATACTGATGAAGAAAAGCACATGTTCATGTAACACACACACACACACACACACACACACACACACACACAGACTCCCCTCCCTGTTTGTGTGATGCTGTGTTTGTGGTTTTTTGCAGCAGAAGGCTAGAGACAAATCCAGGTTCTGAAAAGACCATTAGCTTCTCTGGCCGCCACCCAAACATTGCAACTTTCACCGGCAACAGCTGGTTGTGTCTCGACGTGCTGCTTTTGTACCTCGACAAAAACAAAGTCATTAAGTGGGTAGAAATATCAACTCGTAATTATCACTGACGATAACCAGCTATCTCACCTTAAATATTGGCGAGCAGGTTATTGTCAGTGATAATTACAAGTTAATGTTTATCAGCCGTTCTGTTTTTATAAGGGCGGCTTAGTTTCATCCTATTGTTTGAAATAAGACGTGTAATAAATGCATGTTGTGGAATGAGACCTGGCTCCTCTCCAACGAAGATGTTGGAGGACAAAAAAATACTGCAAATGCTGCAAAACGTTTTAAAAGTTTAGCGAAGTTAAACTTACCTTTGGCCTCTCTCTAACCAAGCTGTCAGAAGAGTTCCAGGTAATGCGATTATGTGTCAAATCTCCAATACTGGATTTGTTTCATGGCTTCAGTGTCGTTCCGCCACCAGGTTCATGTTTAGCAAACCATTTACTGTACCCTCCCCCCCGACCACCACCACATCAGACTCCCCTTTTGTCTACATTGCCCCCTCCCCCCCGTCACCGACGTCATTCACACCCATGTCACATATTTGGCTGCACATGTTCATTCTTGAGGAGTCGGACCTTCAGTTCAGTCAGTTCATCACGTCGACACAAACTATAAACCTGAGGCTGGATTTTCACTTTTGAACTTTGAACGACTTGAACTGATGGAACGAGAAGGTAACTGACCTCAGTAGATGTGTATTTGTAATGCATGCTCCTCACCCTCACACCTGATAGGCCCACTGCATGATCATGTGACCAAACATCCCTTTTAGAAGAATGCTCGCTGTGTCGTGTTCCACAAACTGTCTCACTCTCTGTTGTTTGTGTGAATGTATGAGAGATGTAATGAGGAGAAGAATTAAAGAATATTCAGATTAGTTTTTTAAATCGAAACCAAAAAATCTATGTCTCTGTCTGATTCCTGCAGAGCTACAGACAGCCTGCTGCGTTCATCGTTACCCAGCATCCTCTGCCCAACACCGTCAAAGACTTCTGGCGTCTGGTTTACGACTATGGATGTACCAGCCTGGTAATGCTGAACGAGATCGACCTGGCTCAGGTAACTCGCCTCACCGACGTCTTCTTGTTTGGATTATAGACACGTTGCTGTTTATTCTTGTTTTCTCAGAAGCTGACATCTAAGATGCTCTGTTCTCAGGGTTGTCCTCAGTACTGGCCAGAGGAGGGCATGCTGCGCTACGGCCCCGTCCAGGTGGAATGTATGTCCTGCTCCATGGACTGTGACGTCATCAGTCGCCTCTTCAGAGTCTGCAACCTCACCAGGGTTCGTAGATTAACACTGTGCTGCTGTGTCTCTGCTGAATATTGTAACAAGAATATAACACAAGACTCTGAATGTGTTTCGTCTCCTCAGCCTCAGGAAGGCTACCTGATGGTCCGCCAGTTCCAGTACCTGGGGTGGGCGGGGCACAGAGAAGTCCCCGCCTCCAAGCGCTCCTTCCTGAAACTTATCCTGCAGGTCGACCAGTGGCAACGCGAGGGAGAGGAGGGGGAGGGAAGAACCATCGTGCACTGCCTGTGAGTTAACACCAGACATACACACAGTCGAATGCACTTTATTCTCTCGCTCTTCTTTCTCCATGTAGCAAAGGCGTGTTTGTAAAACGCCTTTTTTTTTTTCACTGTGTGTAGAAATGGAGGCGGGCGTAGCGGAGTGTTCTGTGCCAGCAGCATCGTGTGTGAGATGGCGAAGAGGCAGAGCGTAGTGGACGTCTTCCACGCCGTGAAGACGCTGAGGAACAGCAAACCCAACATGGTGGACACTCCGGTGAGTACGAGACACAGAGAAAGAGAGAGAGAGGAACCGAAATGACTGATTATTGATAATGATATTGTTTTCACCTCCAGTTTTATCTTCATTATTAACTTTTAAGTTAATGTTTCAGGAAGAAGTTATAAAAGTTAGAAACATGAACTTTTCAACAATCTGTCTGTGATCATGTGACCATTCAGACATTGAGTCCAGTGTGTCTGTTGATTTTCAGGAACAGTATCGGTTCAGCTACGACCTGGCGCTGGAGTTCATCGAGTCGTCCTAAATGAAAGAGGGATGAGGAGGAGGTGGAGATGAGCGGGAGAGCATCTTGTCTTCATCCTTCCCCCCCACTCTCTCTCTCTCCCCCTCTCTTTGTGTGTGGCCGTCTGTAGCATCCATCCTACAATCGGCAGGAGAGAAACCGGCTCCTTGTCCAGTGTTGGTAAACAAAGGGAAACAGAAGGAGCAGCAGCGGAGGAGGAGGCGACATCCCTCCTTTTTACTCCTTCATGCTTATTGTACAGCTTTTTTGAGTGCCAGCGGGGCCCCTGTATGTTTGGGGCTCCATTTAAATGTTAAGCGTTTCACCCCCCCCCTCCTCGCATGGACTCGATGCCTCATGCCGTTTCAGCTGCAGTACTCCTTTAGTCCTGCAGACGTCTCCCTTCTCCCAATGCAAGATGCCTCCACAGCTTTTGATTAACTGCAACTTTCCAGCGGCGGAGATGTCGGTACATTTATAAAAGAGCGGCCGATCTCAAGTCTCTGTTTTCTGCTCCGTTTCAGCCGCAGCTTCATCGTCACCTCGTGTTCCGTTTCTGGTCAGAATATTATTATGTGTTTGAGTATTTAACAGCCACTTTGTACCCGTTTTACTTTGGTGACACGCAGATACACGGAAGACAAAATCTCATCTAGTTTGCCTTTTAGATAAAGAAGAAACGAGACTGACAACAGATCAAAAATAGAACGTTTACATGAGTATTAGGCTTTTAGAATTTTTTTTAATTTCACAATATCATGAAGTGGCAACTTGAAAAATGTTGCATAGGATTTTCACTAAAATGTATAAAAAAGAAAGTGTGATATGTATCATTGTTTCTGTTGATTTCTGATCGCTTTTATATTTTCATTTATCGATCTACTGGATAGAAGTGTCCAAGTCGTCTTTGTTCCCCAAAATGTACGAATCAGCGAACTTGAGATTGTTTGGATCATGTTTGTTTCAGGGCTGGGCCCAACGCACTTTCAATTCAGCCAATTCACAAATGGGATCATTTTTCAGAACGCAAACATAAATATGAGAAACGTGAGACTGAGGATTAACGCTCTTTCTTGAAGATGCAGAATATCCATTTGTGGTTTGAAGGGAATTGGAAGTGAAGTGACCCCAGGCTTCATTCGTTTTGTGCACTGGTGGCCAACACTTTGTTTTTTTAATGTTTTACTTTGCAGCTGATGTTTATTCATAAGCCAAAGACTTTGTGTAAATATGTCTATATGGATAAAGCACATTGTTTGTATTTATTGTTTGTTTACTTGCATTGCTTGTAAGAACAATCATTCTTCATTCCATGTTTACTCTACCACCAGCGTTTCTTAAACCGAGGGTCAGGACCTAAACTGGGCTGCGACTTCTACTCAATTTGCGTCCACGAAGAAGAGTTTAAGAGCCGCTGATCGAAGCTGTATATTCAAGCATAGAAGTAGTTTTTCAGTATTTAGGTGGAGTTCAGTAGTATTGTCTTGTTTTCACTTATGAATCTCTGTGACGTTGCCGTGGTTTCTTTGTGTAAAAAGCCCATCGCTCTGTTCGTGGTCAGTAGAACATCAGTCGGAGTATTTTGGATAATTGCTGCGATCCCTCTTAACGTCTTAGTCGGGATAAGCTGTTTATCTTCACCCTTGTATCCTGCTCACCATTATTATCCCTGGATACACACTGACTCGCTGATGCAACCAGGCTTAGTGAGCGAAACATGCAGGACCGTGAAACAAAAAGAGAAAAAAAAAGACATTGTGCCTAATCATTTGAATTTCCTTGTTGAAACAAGCATTTTAACAGCGTCCCAGACGACAGCCGGGGTCGTGGACGATCATTGTTTTACCTTTTTCGGACCATGATTCAGTGTGTTTCATTCATCAGAATGAATTCTTTGTGAGGCTCACTGAATACCAGATGTGTTTGTTTTGTTCGCAACATGTTACAGAAGGAAAAAAAAAACTTTATTGTAAATAAAAATGTTAGACGTTCCGCTTGGTTGGAACCAGAGAAGCTCTGCTCGCGAGGATGTTATTGTAAATACAGAATCATGAGGACTCTAAAAGGCTCTATTGTTCAGAGATATAGACGATGGATGCAATGTCAGAACATTTGTTCTGTTGTAGATAAAAACGTCAGAGATTGTACTCCTGGAGGATTCAGCTTCAAAAAAAAAAAACTTTGACAGGTGTTGAAAACTTTATTCTGTTGGTAGATCATCCATTTCCTGTTTTGTTTTGTTTTATTTCCTCCAGATTTCTGATCTGACCCAAAGAAGGGAAAGAAAATGTAGAGGCCATAACGTTACGTTGCTACAGTCGTACTTTGCCTTCAGTGGTTGAGCAGTGTGGACAAAGCTGATGTCTGTTTTTATCGCATGCCCAGAGAAAAGTGAAGCCGCCGTCAGTGACAAGAAATCAAACAAAGGGAAAAGTGAGGAGCAGAGGATTCCTCCTCAATAAACATCAAGTCATGGCCCCTGAGGAGACGTCACTGGATGAGAGGCCAGTCTGAGTGTAAAAGTGATATTCATGGTTCATAATTATTCTTGTCTGTAATGTTTGGCTTCTTTGCTGTAATAAAGACCACTTCTTTAATTAAAAGAAACTGTCGGGACTCTTCAGTCGTTACGATACAAGAAACATCCACATCATCTATGATCCAATACTCTGTTAATGACAACATGCTGTATATGATCGATTTTTACTTTAGCTTGTTGATTAATCACAATACTGATGAGATGTTATTTCAATTGTTCTTCTCCAACATTAAAAGTGAAAATTAAATAAGTCAGCACTCCAACACCATGGATACAGGCTGCCATTAAACCAAGAAGAAGAAGAGGCAGGAGGAGGAGAAGAAGAAGAAGAAGAAAAGCAGGAAGTAGAAGAAGGAGGAGAAGAAGAAATACAGGAAGAGGAGAAGAAGAAGAACGGGAAGGAGTAGCAGAAGAAGAAGAGCAGGAAGTAGAAGAAGGAGGAGAAGAAGAAATACAGGAAGAGGAGAAGAAGAAGAACAGGTGGAGCAGGAAGTAGAAGAAGAACAGGGAGGAGAAGAAGAAATACAGGAAGGAGGAAGAGCAGATAGAAGAACAGGAAGAAGGAGGCAGAGGAGTAAAAGGAGGAGGAGAAGAGGGAGGCAGAGGAGTAGAAGAAGAGGAACAGGAAGAAGAAGTAAAAGAAGAAGAAGCACCTGTGAGGACTTCTCCAATGGTAGGCCACCATCTTGTTCTCTGTCACAGGAGACCAGACAGACTGAAAGTCACAAACTGATGAATGACTTTTCATATGATTATTAATGAAATAACACCAGTGTTTATCTCATTGTCTATGGAATCACATGACACAATAATGGAAGGTACATTAAAATGGAGTCAGTTGAGACGCCATCAATCCCAAAGTCTTTCATTTACAAACTGCATTTAGTTTTTATATTATAAAGTGAATTTTATTCTATTTCATCCATTCAACAGCTCAGTGATGAAAATAATTTCTGGTGCTCATAAAGAAAAATGAGATTCTCTCTTACAACCGTGCAGTTTTCTTCAAAAAGTTTAATTTGCATAATTATTTACAACATGGTAGAGAGCAGAACTTCAGAAGAGGCAAAATATACTGAACCACGCTGATAAAGCAGGAAAATAATAAAATGATTTAAATTGGTGAAACCATGTCAAAATCTTGCATTTAGAAAACAAAAAGAAAGTTTTACAACTCAATCAAAGAAAATCTAGAAATGAAATATTCAGCTTAAATAAATCTTACAAACACAAACTGATCTGTAGAATGCTGTAATACTGAACAGCAATGAAACACTAAAGAATACATTCATTTTCACTATCCCGCATGCTATCTGAAGATCTTATAAAATAATGTCGACAAAGGAACAGTAATCAACAAAAACATGGTCAAGAGCGGAAAATAGTTCCATTTAAATTAGGCATATATTATATATTTATATATGTATATTTCTGTACAAATACTGAATATTTGGCATTATATTTATCCTCATAATTGAGATATCTAACAATTGAAAATAGTCTTAAGCTAACCACAAACCTTTTATGCTATCAAATGTTTCTCGTATCACATCCCAGAGCCCAGAAGAAGCCTCTTGTTATTTCTACCCACAGCCACAACACAAGACATTTCTCCACCAAAGGCAAACTAAATTGTGGCTGCTCTCTCCCCTCATAAAGCACAGAAACATAAACAGCACACAAACACTTCTCCTCCCAGTTGTTTTGTAGAAGCACACCATCCAGAACAATATGTGGACAACACACGTCTGTATATTGTGGTTTCATTGGTGCAGAGACGAGTTGTGGTGTAAAATAGTGTAACTGCCCTTCGTCTTGTTGTTTATTACACTGACCAGGCTCATAACTAACATCACCAATGAAATATGTAATAATCAAAATACTACAGGAATCAAGCGTGTGGACAAAACATAACGTGAGCATCTGCAGTGCCTGAAACAAATTCTCATTTAACGTAACCTAAAGAGAAATATTTGCCTGCTTCAATAAATAATTTGTAATTTGGGGAAATATTTGCTACTCCCAGGGGACGTTAGCTTAGCTTAGCATAGAGACCGGGAGCGTAACTCTGCCCAAATGCAACAAAATCCACCGACCGGCTCAAATTAACCTGATCTGTCGTGTTTGTCGATTCAACACAAAAAAAAGAGGATTGGTGGTTTTATGCTGGTTTTGTTTGTGGTGGACTAGCTTCCCTTTTCCTAGCTCAGAAGTAGACCAGTATATTACCACTGTAAAATGTTGTTGTTTTTCTTTACATCATTTTTTTTGTTCAGTTCAAACAAACAAGACTTAACGTGTTAATTGAGATTTACTTTGCTTTTTCAGCAGATTTTGTTACATGTGAATTAAGGCTCCCCGTTTTCAAACACAAGGCTAAGCTTAACGGAAATATGAGAGAGTGCGTATGTATATTTCCCATAGACTGTATATAAAGATGCACAACATGTCTTGACTTCCTCCTGTTGCCAAAACACGTCAAAGTCATTTGGAGCCAGATTCTGCGCTGTAGTGGGGTGGGGGGTGGGGGGTGGGGGGTGGAGCTGTGTCGCCATCAGTCTCAGCTGCCAATCATGACTTTTCAACCTGTTTTTCAAATAACTAATTAAATCCAAGTTTACTTGAAATATTAGCACTGGAAAGTCTGAAGTCACAGAAAACAATTTTGGCCTCTTAGTTTTGACCTATAGCAGCTACCCACTAGGGGGCGATCCAGATGATTTGGTTTCACTGTCCCATCATCTATCTTATACAGTCTATGGTATTCCCCAACATTTCCTCCACTTTATTAGCAGCTTCAAACATTTACGGTAACGTCCCTCCGCTTAGTTTTTTTGTCTAAAGATAAAGATGAAACACCAACTGAAATATCTTAATCAGGCTTATTGCTTGAGGAGCAAATACACTCGTACAGCCCAGTAGTAATGGAAGCGTGACATCAAACATGGCCCATGATTACTCACTCGATTGCTGTTTGAACAAAACTGACGATCTACAGCATGTCATAAAAAAATCACGTCATTTATGAGAAGAGAGAGCAAACAGTAGAAAGACATCTTTGCAGCGCAACTGTATCAGAATCAAGGAGAAAAGCTTTCAATGAAAATCTAATGGAGTCTTCATCTAAGACTGTGAAGAAATCCTCAAGATGTGAATATGAGGGAAACTCAGGGTGCCATCTTGAGGATGTACCATGACACCGCTGCTGCAGTGTGTGTGTGTGTTGGTGTGTGTATTTGATGTGTTTGGTGTGTGCTGATTGTCAGAATATACCCAAAAGAAGAAGAAAATGTAAAAGTACAAGGAGAGAAGTGGTTTGATTCAGCACCTATACAGACTTCTCTGAGGTTCATCTTCAGGACGACTATTAAAAGATGTTAGTGTGGAATATGGTGCAGTTCAATGTGTTGTACAAGGCATTAACAGATGTCTTGAGTCGTGACTAAACAGGGAAATGTGACAAAGGAACGTGACTCGTTTTCCAGTATTAGTGAACGTTAGCTGTCTTTTTTTCTTTACAGTACATATATTTCAAATCAGCATAAAGCAAATTGTAACTCAGTGATGGTAGGATAACTGTGTAGGATTTAGAATTGGATAACAATGACAGCACACACTTGAACTCCTGCAGTGTAAAGCACGGTGAACATGGTGCTTTTCAGTGCTCTATGAATGAACGGTGATCTGCACCAGGGCCTGCAGCCCCACAGAAGTACTGCTGCATAGTACACAGGCATGACAAATACTTCCTGTGGAGATTACAACTACTCCTAATATACCATGTTCGCTAAAATGCTTATCTATGAGGTAAATAGCTGTAGGTGAGCCTGCCTGCCATTGTATGAAAACACTATTGCACTTTTTGGCTGGTCAAGTTTTGTCAGTCTCCAGATTCTGCAGATGTTGATGCCGAAAATAGGCAAAAAACATCACGAGATTACAATATCACAGCAAGAAGGAAAAAATATAGACCTTTTAAATAAATTATCTTTTTTAATTTGCAGAAATGTATGTGACTTCGACGCCTTGTTTCCACCTAGCTCTGTGTCAGTATTTGAGTCAGCCGGAAGTGTATTCATTCCTTTGCAACGTGCACGATCTCCGATGGGTTGCAAAACTCCCCCTCTGGTATTTTTTGGTCCAAAATTTTCCTCCAAGTACATCAATGAATTTGAATTCAGTTGTTTGACACTGTTGATACTCAAAGTGTGTAATTATATAATTAAATATAAACTTCTGTCTGCCAGTTGAAAACTTTGTGAATTATAAAAAAGTTATTTGCTAAAAATGATTTGAATATATCAATAGATTTATTGATCATAATATAATCGACATAAATAATGTGCTTTGACCAACAATCAGCAAGCACATTCTTTCTTCCAAATATTGCTCCAGGTACATATTCCAAAAAACTGGGCAGCAGAAAACTTTCTCTACTGGCTGCAACCAGAAAGAAATGCATTTCCAGGCATTGAACACTAGGGGAGCGGAGTTCGAATATTACACGGAACTACAGACACGAAACAAAACTGTTTGGAAACGAGGCACGAAATGTGTATAACTGATTTTCTACAATTTATCATAATTTGAATGGACCTTCGTCCAGAGTCGTGACTCATAAACTGGATCACACTGCATCATGGTGATAAACAGCAGAACATCTATGAGATCTGAGCCAAAAACCCCAAAAAAAGAGGATAACAAATGTCACCAAACCCTCCATTGCTGTCCTCTAGACGTTATTGTGCTGAAGTTTATTACAGTCAGAAGTTTAAATTAGTCAAATATAAAGTTTTAAATTCTGCAGTCCAGCCCAGTTTCCAGCCCTTTGTAATGGTATCACAGACAAACTCGCACTCTAACAGGTGGTGTAGTCCTTCCACAAATCTCAACCCAACACATTCACTCACAGAGTCCGATGAGAATCAAACTGTAAGGCACCTGAGGATTTGTCATGTACATAGTTGCCAAATGTCTAAGCCCCTTGTGGCGTGGTGAGATAAAACGTGACACAGACGAGGAAGAAAAATACTAAAGATGTCATGTTGATGTACCACGATCACA